TCCGTTCCTGTGTGTTCCTGCTCCAAAATGGCCCTGTTAATACCATAACGTAAGGGTAATTCATATAATTCCTTGTTGCCATTTGTCCTCAAGGTAGTGAAAACTAAGAATCTTGAATGCCTTCAGTCTTGCCAACATGTTGTTGCATTTGTCTTGCTAGCATATTTTCAACTGCTTCATGCTGGCTTGAGAGGTCTAGAAGATTTAATGTTGGAGAGGAGATGCCGATGCTGCTCTCTTAGTAATATTAACCAGAGGACAACATGCAGCTATGAAAAGACATTTTGTTGGTTTATGCAGAACTTGCATTTACACCAGCAAAAGAATTGAGCCCTGTTCTCAGAATTCTTGCATTCAAATGGCCTTTTATAAACAGCTTTGATCAGATGCTTTGGAATAGGTCAGTTAAATGTTCAAGATGGCTATTTCAGTGTGTATGCATGTGGGCACAATTTGTCATTTTGCTTGATACAAGGTCTTCAAAGGTACGTGAGTAGCACAGTTAGAATGATTGATACTTCCAGATGGATTATGATGCCTGGTAGAGGCAGACCCAAGAAGGCTTACTGTGCTTATTCCAAACATCAGGCTGTATAAAGAGATCAGGATTTTCTTTTTGCAGGTTCAGGAAGCAATCAGTGGTAGTCAAACGCAGTGTCTTCTGAAGAAATGCTCTGGTTTGATCATTTTAGTAATTAGGCAGTTCAGGTCAACAGATAAGCTCTTCCCTTCTCTGATGTAGCAGTGCTAGTGGATAAAATTTCCATAGTTAACATAAGCTTCACAATTTCTCTCTACTGTTTGTTTTGTCCTTTCCTTAGAACAGTTCACCATGGGATGTAGAATTGTTCCCAAAAAGGCTACATATAGTGGATCTTGACATTAATGTTTCTGCAAAGTGCCTTGACAGCAGAAAAGCAGCTCTGATAATTTTAAAACTGACTGTTTTTCTGTGTCATTGTTTCTGAAGAGGCATTCTTAGCTAAGTTTTTGTGTAGATCATGTGGGAGCCCTATTTTTGAAAAATTTGTTTGGATTTGTTTTGTCATTTCTGAAGCTTATGGCTGGGACTATGAGAACTCTAGCTCTTTCACCCCTTGTTCCTGCAACTGATCATTGTAGCCCCATCAGACAAATTATTCCTAAAAGGTAGATTTTGGGAGGAGCCTTTAGTGCAATATAATGGGTATGTCAAATGGACAAGAATTAAGACATGTCTGCTAGCAAAAAATATGCCCCCAAAGATTCAAAATTGCAGCTGTAACGAGGCAACCTCTGAAAATGGAGGACAGAAGATGTTATCTAACATAAACTGGGAACATATTATTTGGATGTTATTGTAATCAAGAATATGGTACCTTTAGGACATTAAGTTGATTTTAAAGTTGGATCGTCTTCTTAAATAGATAAAGTTTTGTAGCTTGAGCTGTACAAAACTGTGACTTGCTACGTTTTCTATAGAAGCTATTTCCTTTGTAATTATGAGAATTCTAAGATAGGAGGGAGAAGAGAAGATTTCATCTTGTGTGATGGGAAGGACCAAATTCAAAGCAATCTCTATACATACAACTACTACATTTTTATAAATATGTGTAAATGTCCTTCCTATTGTAATATTTTGAGCCTGAAAATAAAGCAGACTTTTTCACTAATTCTTAACCTGTTGATTTTAGAAGCCAATGAATTCTCCTGAGAATTCTCTGTGGAGCCAAAATTGCTGAGACTAGGGGGTTAGCTATAGCACTCCCTAGCAACATTTGGTAAAAGGAACACATGATACAAGAACATCATGTTTGACAGCCAATGAAATGGAGCAAGAACAGGGAAACAGCACAATAAAGGTGATTTGTGGTTATTTTACCAAATGTTATCCAGGGAGAAACATGGGTCAAATGCAGCCACAAATCCCCATATCCTGAGATTAAAGTGGGCATGTTGGCAGCCCATTCTCTGTTAATGTCGCTTCAGTGAGTGAATGAGTCATTTCCCCCTACTAGTTGCTTTAATAGCCACATCCAAGGGATTTGCAGAGACTTTGTGGATCATAGCTGGGGATTCAATCTTGAGACCTTCTCTTCTTCTTTCCCATGTAACCTTCTGAATAGCCGTCTTCTATCTCACCCTTTCTTGCTTTGGGGCACTTCAGCTGTGCTCCAACTGTACATGCATAGAACTCTCACTGGCTCATTTCAGTACAATGAAGCCAGATCTGCTGCAGTGAGCAGATCTGGGGTCTCTTTTAGTCTGCGGGGGTTTGTCCTGCACATCCACAGTATGGGCAGCTTCATTTATACTTCCGAGACAAGTTCTGATGTTTTCATGAGAGTTTTATCATCCTGTCCATGCACAATTTGGCAGTTGGGCCTTAGTTAAATAATATAGTGTGGAAGATATTATGCTCATGACCGAAGATGATTCTTTATTTGCTTCATTTGTACCCCACCTTTCTCCTCAATGGGGACCCGAAGGCAACTTGCATCATTCTCCATTTTGTCCTCACAACAACCCTGTGAGGTAGGTTAGGCTGAGAGAGTGAGTGGCTCAAGGTCACCCAGCAAGCAACCATGGCATGAGTGGAGATTTGAACCCAGGTCTCCCAGACATTCTTAACCACTAGTCTGAGATTCTTAACCACTACACCATCCTGGCTCCCAAATACTTAAGAAGGATTAATTAGCACCTGGCACTAGTTTCTGTAATTGTATAATAACAATGCATCTGAAAATATTTACTTAATTATTACCACAACTAGCTAGGAAGAAAACTATGTTCCACTAGCAGGGGTATCAGAGTAATGTGTTTATACTACATGTGCTGCTTACTCCAGTATATGTGATCAACCTTCGTACATGAATATGCCCCCCACTTTGCAGTGACCATGCCTGATAAGCAAACGTACTGTGTTTTGACAGCCACCGTCACCCATGAGCCAAACTCTGATCTGTTCATCTGTCTATCATCCATCACAGTTTGCCACCACAGCTACTGCCAGAGTTTCATATCCTTGCCTTGCAGAGGCATTTGTTGAGTGAGATGATTCTACCCAGCATCAGGTAATTAAATGATGTGAAGAAAGAAGGCTGTGTGAAAATGCACACGGACAAAATAATATGTGCATAAATGAATACCCAAAGTTCATACTTGTTTAACTGATTTGCTTACTGCCTCATATTATTTGCTGCTGAGCGGCGTGCGGTGACAACAGTTCTGTGAGGAAAGTAGTCTATTGTGACTCTGCAAGAATATGTACATATGAAAAAAATACTGATTGCTCAGTGGTGTTTGAATATGTGAAGATTAACAGCCCGGATTTGCTGGAACAGTAGAAGTGTTCAGCAAAAAATTGACGCTCTGTTCTGGACTGGCAAACAGACCATCAAACAACCAGGTTTTTGAGCATGACAATTTATCTGCAGAACAGATATTTTAAATCCAATACTATATTTTCCACTATAGTCTCTTAATTTCATGTCTTGGATCCATAAACCTTTTGAGTTCCACTACAGGAAATACTAGAAATTCATTATGATAGACTGAAGCCAACCACACTCCAGTTTTTTCACCACATCTAATGATATATTGTAATCTTTATTCCAGTCCTCATCTCCAGTTAAAGGCTCTGTAGAAGCAGCATTAGAAAAGGCCTCTCCCTGAGATGTTGGAGAGTTGGTTTTCAGAGAGCAGTAGGCTCCTAACTGAGAAGAAAATTTCTTTTTGCCAAAGTGTTTTATCTTAGTGACTTAGAAAATGACTAGAGAATGTTTAGCGAGCAGGCAAGCGGTATATTTTGGTATATTTGTAACTGACTTCACAGAAAGCCCTGAAGTATGATACAGCTGCTTATCATGTCAAGGTGAGCATCAGTTTGAAACCCAAGTACAAGACAGTCTCCACTTGTCCCAAGAAGGAACCAGGCTGCTGGCGCTTAAAATCAAAAGGGTGGCAGAGCAGTTTTTAAACTGAATATTGGAGGAAAGCTGACAGGAGATGAAAAGTCTCTGGTTCGGGATGACTCATCTCAAAGAGATTAAGGGGTAGCTGTTACTTTTCTACAAGTGAATGGATTAGAATTGTCCACTGAGATTGTGGCATACGATATGGACTACCTGGCAAGGTCTCGAGGCAACAAGAGGAAGGTTGTGGGCTTAACATGCATGGGAAGCTATGGGTGTTTATACACAAATGCTAGAAGTGTCTGAGGTAAAATCGGGAAATTGGGATACTTGGTGTTGGGGGGGGGGAATAGACATTGTGGGTATTTCAGAAACTTGGTGGGATGAGGAAAATCAGTGGGATATGGTGATTTCTGGTAATAAATTATATCAGAAAGAGGGGGGGAGGATTGGAGGTGGGGTGGCTCTGTATGTCAGAGAGGGTATACAGTCCAGTAAGCCTGAGAAGGTAAAAGAATTGGA